CTAGTAAGGCACTTGTTACTAGTAGCGATGCACTTGTTCCTAGTAGCGATGCACTTGTTCCTAGTAGCTTCTTGCTACATCAAAAACGGATCTCGTCCCCTAAATTCACGCCTGCGTGTCTCTCTGCTTCCGAAGAATTTCCACCTAACGCATGGCTGATCTGGTCAAATGAATCCAAACCGCATGCAGTTCTTGGGTTGACAGGAGAATGGACCCATTCAGTTTGGAACATCAACTTGTTTTGGGAACAAAGCAATCACAGAGTGCATCTCAGCTAAATAATAACCATCAGCCACACTGTCCACACCTCATGCTGCAATGCACGCTCCTTCTCTGCTGCTCTCTGTTCCAACATCTCCACCTGCCAAGTTTGCGGCGGTGGCACGCCCAACAGCACTGCGTAGTTCAAAAGTCCACATGTTGCCGTCGAAACCAACCACAAAACACATGACTGGACCAAACGCTTCCCACTATTCTATGCCCTTTCATGACCTCTCATTTGTTTTTTCGTGTGCAAACACGCTCACCAATCTCCACCGAATCCGCAAGCAGCCGCTGTCTTCTAACTTGGCGATGTCACGAGGTCTTGGACTTCTCAGCTCTGACTTCAGACAGGGCTAAGTCTTGGGCGGAGGAGGGGAACGTGGCATATGATGGTCTAGTGGTGTTTTGATAAAACGCACACACACACACACACCTTCAATTTCATTTTCACTTCATCTCACATTTCCTTTTATGGTGCGACCTGCCCCCCCCCCCACACACACACTTTGCAGTGCGTAGGAAGTGTGAAAAACGGTGGAACTCACTTAACCACCCAAAACATGTTTGAACACTCAATTGCTTGTTCCCCGTGGGCCGCCACTTAAACACGCTCGCCCCCAAAACGAACTTGTCACACCAGTGTGGTGTCAACAAAGGAAGCAACTGTTGCAATCAAACCAGGTCACATGAAGCACCTTTGGCGAGTTGTAAAGCATGTTTCCTGCCCGATAGGTGCGACTTGTCGGTCTTGGTCGTGGTAATTGCACAGTGAGACAGCCTTCGAATGCCCTTGGTGCATGAAGGGTTTTCTCGAAGGGCACATGCATACGGTTAGCCGTATGCTTCGTAGAGTCCAAACTCTATTTGCCGGAGGCCCGGTCGTGGGGGCATGTTCCTTTGGCTGCTTACGGCCAGCTGCCGGTGATAGGGAACACCAACAGTTCGAACTGACATTCAGGTGCAGTCACATTTGCAAAACGTTCCAGGAACCCGCCCCACCGCAGTGCAATTCAAACGATCGATGCATTGTACGCTTCAAACAACTGACCGGAAGGTGAGTCACAAGTCCTTGCATGCATGCAACATGTTTTCCTTGCTCCTTGTTTTCTGGATGTGACTCATTTGGACCCGGTCGTGATGGTTTCGGTCAGTTTGCAGGTATCTGTACATCTTGGACGCCTCTCCACCACTTGCGCACTTCTTGAGCGCTCGTTCAGACCATTGGCCAAAAAGCAGAAAACAACACAGGACACATTCGTTTTTAATCTTCAGGCCTTGTTTCTTTCTGTTTTCCAGTTGTCTTTTTCTAGTCCTGTTGTTCAGGCAGTTGGCAAGAACAGGGGTGTTGAAAAACTGCATTCAAATCCTTGATGAAAGAAATCCTTCGCGTCCCTACCGAAAATGCCTGTGTCTCCAATGGGGGTAGTCGAACCAGTCCGACATCCAAACTTAGGGAAAAATCCGAGAGGAGGACTACCGCACACCCTGTGAATGATGGGTTGGATGTCTTTCCAGGCATTTTCTACAGAAATGGTGTCTATAAAATGAGGAGGCTCGGGATACAATGCTTTAGACAATTATACGCTAGGCATTTTCGATAGAATGCTTACTTGATCCCACTAGTGATTGCAGAATGAAGATCAAACACAAACATATTTTACTACCCTATAAAATGAGGAGGCTTTCTAAAAAATACCCTCCTAGGCATCTTGATGCACGCATGTACCATCCCCCCATTTGGGTCTTTAAACTGCTCTGCTTGCCTTTTGGCAACACCAGCTCACATACATCATAAGCCTGCAAAGAACTCCTACGTAAGATGATCTCCAATGATATTTGGATGAGCCAAAGCCATGTACCCTCTATGATGTGTGTGTGTGCTAAGTCCATTTCATAGAGGAAAATGTTGGCATTTTCTAGAGCTAGTGTTACGGAGTGTACTATCGCCACCTTTCTTTTACGCATATTGGGGGCTGATGTGTCTGAGGCCTATAACTTTATTGTTCCCCCACAGGTTTTTTTTCAACATCCTCAAGTAGCTTTGGCCATAGGAGGTCCGTCCCTTTTTCGTGGTGTCGAGCAAGGGCCCCTTTAAAAACCCAGCTCTCGGCATGATGCATTCGGCTTGTTAAGTCAATGCTGTGGTTTGTACCATTGGCTGATCTCTGGGGCTGCCTTTACCTACAAAGTAGGGCCAAACGACACATGTGAGTCGCTGCAACACAACACCTTGTGTATGACCTGCCGTACAAGAAACAACCTGTCAGGTCGGTTCGCGGAGAGTCAAAGACGCGAACACAGTCAAGGCCTTCTTGACACATATGAATAGCGTGTTCTATCGCTTCTTGCGTGCTCTCTTTTCAAGTCACCAAATCCCGTACCCTATGCCCAATGAGTTTACAAAAAGGCATGGAAGCCCGGCAGTCCAATCTCAACAGCAGCCTTGTCAGGCCTCTTCCATGCGCACCTCACTGACTCAGTGCAACGAAAGTTTTCGACGCCTCCTGAGGCTGGGCCACAGGTGCGCACGCGTCAGATGGAAGGGTGAGCTGAACAAGGGCTTGCAGGCCTAAATCCGGATATAGCTGAGCCATAGAGGCTGCTTCCATCTTGCTTTGGTCAACGACTGCTCCAGGGCGGTATCTCCTTTTGCGGTAGGCTGTGGTGGCACCTCCACGACGGAGGGAATATGTTTTTGAAATTGAGGGACTCCAACCGTAGCGACTGAACGACGGCGTGCCACAACGGGGCCCTTCCTGAAGTTTCAGGGGTTGCTGGTTGCACGTTTGCTCGGTGGATGAGTCGACGCATTGCTTCATTCACTTGGGCCCCCGCAATCGCATCAGCCCCTGAGTTCTTCGACTCTCATCGCTGCCAAGATCTGATCAAACAGAATTTCCATCGGGTAGGAGTTTTCGAGGGTCCGAGCCTTCTTCATCAGCGCATCACGCCTGCAGCAACCAACTTGCTTGAAGGCCTCGGACACCACCATGTAAGGTGGGTGCCTGTACTCATTCGTCTCCCGTCGTGCCAAGCCCTCAGGCGACGCGACCGCAAACCCGCAAGATCAGAAAGCATATGGCTCTCGTCATGGTGGGGAACCGCAAGGGCTCATCACCACCGCCCTCAGGCCACTCGCAATTTGGCCTGAGGAACGCCACCGGGGGCTCTGGCTCCAACCCTTTGTGATGAGCTTGTCGAACTGCTCAAGCTCTTGCCACACCATGTGAACGACCTGGCAAGCCAGTGCAAGCGAGGCCTTCTGACAGCTAACGCGTCGCCAACCGCCCTTCCGAGATTAGCAGGTTGCCTCGCCGAGCTGAGGCCCCTTGCAGATGCGAATCCCTGGATGAACTCGACTCAGAGTATGCGCCCGAGCTGGCGGACTTATCATTCTTTTTGGAGCACTTTTCCTTCTTGGCTTTCTTCTTGTTCCTCTTAGCCTCCGGCTTAGCCACCAAACCCCGTCCTTGGCCTTCTCCTCCAACTGCTCGCCCAACGACTTCATCTTTTTCTTAGATGGGCCAGGCTCTCCGTCATCAACCCCCTTGGCCATCTCATCCTTATTCCACTCTTTTGGGGCTTCCTCATCAAGGCCTGCTCCCCTCAGAGGGTCTGCAGGGCGGCGGCTAGCGCGGCCGTTGCCAACCATGTCTTGCCAAGCCTAATGCCGAGGGCTCTGGTATGCTTTTCGTGAATCACCTTGGGCGAGTTGGACGCGACACCTTAAGGGAGGACCATGGAAAATGGGGGAAGCAGCATCCATGCCAAGGGTTATGGCTCCCGTACCAGGCATGATGCTCGTCATTGATGCTCGCCCTCAAGCATATCCACCCACTTGGTCACTTGGTGATCTTGACAGCTCCGACACCTTGGGCGTCTCCGTCATCATCCCAACAGTCGTGCTCGATGTGGGGTCTGGTGCTTCTTTGACGATCGACTTCGCCACCTCAGGTGACAAACGGCTTGCACGCCCAACGGTGAAGGTCAGCCAGCCGCCCTCAAGTTTCTCTCTGCCATCCAGTAGAACAGCTTCGATGCTCTCTGGGGTGGAGCCCATGGATTTTGCATGCTTTTCGAGGACCTCCATGATCAAACCGTTGCCCCCCTGAACTTCAAAGTCTAAGGTGAGAGGAACCGCTTGAGCCCCACTGAGCCGAAACTCCACGTGAACCCGTCCATGCATACTTCCACTTAGCAGGAGACGTATTTTTTTACATTTAGACACAAACATATATACTCCTTCCTCTTCACCTTCTAGAAGCCTTTAAACAATCGCATTTGTTCATTCAATTGAGTATGCTCAGGGTATCGGTGAGTACAAGCGGGCCCGGTACTATCGGTCAAAGTGCCAGCGAAACCAGCTTCACTGCATACTGCATTCCAGGTGCTTCTTGACACATTGGGCGACCATCCTGTAAGCGGTTTACGGTAGCCATCGTAACGCCGAGACCTGGATCGTCGGTTCCGACGCGTCGGGTCCCGCAAAAGGGGTTCCCTCAAAAAGAACAGCGAGCGCCGCAGCCTCCGTGGCGGCCCTGCTAACGCGGGCCGACCGGCTCCAAAGAGAGTCTGAGGTTTTTTCACCCAAACACGGCTTCCAACGACTAACCCTTCAGAGTGACCATCAAGAAACTCTATGACCTGCCAAAACGTCATCGACATACAGTTAGGTTGGAGGCCATCGCTAGGTCATCGTTGGTCGGATGGAAGGATTTTCATCCTCAACAGCGAGGCTGGGGCGACCGCCCTTGAAAGCACAAAGCTCGGTGCAGAAGCGGTGCAGTGGGTGCCCGGGAGCGGTGCAAGACGCAACATGTACTGCCCTTGTTATGTTCGTTTCTAGCTACTAGTAGCGATGTTACTAGCGTCCGATCGCTCCTAGTAGTGCCAGGAGCCCCGTCCGTAGCTTCTTGTTACGAGTAGCTTCTAGCTACTATTAGTAGTGCCCTTTGCTACTAGTAGCTTCGTTTTACTCTGTAAAATGTTTTCTTGTTTTGGTGGAGTGGTATTATGTGCTAAGCCTTGCGTCGTTTGAGAGGAGCAACTTTGCGAACTAAACCTACAAGCGATGGACTCCAACCTACAAGCGTTGGCCTCCACAATGTATGTATGCAGTATGTTCATCCGCTTGAGAACTCAAACTAGAAAGGAAACACTGACATCCAACTCTTCATGACGACCCCACGCGCAACGTAGTTCAAACAAATGCTTCATCCTTCGCTCACAGCCGAGGACGGCGAGGGCTTTGTATCATTCTAACAATCTTCCGAGAATAACTTCCAATAGGGTGGAGGCTATCGCTATTAGTTTGGAAGCCATCGCTATTAACTGCTCTTCCAATAACTTCAACACAGTGCTA